ATTTGATGTTAGATACTTCTCCACTTGGGCAAGAACCAGAATCTATATATATGTAAATTAAATGGTTCATTATAGCAGTTTCAAAATGTAACATATTTTAAAATATAATGTTTTTAAACTTTGTCTGGATTTAAGGAAAAAGTACACTGTTTAGTTCAAGACAAGAGTCATTCCTAGCCCACACAGTGGCTCATTCCTGTAATGCTAGCCACTTAGGAGACTGAGATTGGGAGGATGGCTATTTGAGGCCAACCCAGGCAAAAAACAAAAAAAGTTTGGGAGCCCCCCCTCCCCCATCTTAACCAATGGCTGGATGTGGTTGTGCATGTCTGTCATTTTAGCTACAGTGTGAATCTAAAAATAGGAGGATTGTGGTCCAGGCATACTTGGACATTAAAGTGAGACCCTATTAGAAAAATAATCAAAGCAAAAAGAGTGTGGCTCAAGAGGTAGAGCACTTGCTTGGCAAGAATAAGGTCCGGCCCAAAATAGGCCCCTCCACCCCCAAAAAATGTCATACCTGCATTCTTCTGTTACTTCTTGCTCTTAGCTTGATAAAAATGTTAAGAATTGAGTATATTTTGAAGTGTTTGGAGAATATCTGAATGTAGACCTCTTTGCCAATTCAGGTCATAGAAGAAGATTTGGATTTTTTGAGTTCAAATTTAGATCGACTTAAAATATTTGAATATCTTTGTGCTAAATTAAACCTGCAATTCTCTCTTGCACGGCTCTAGCCCTAGAAGCTCTATGCCTTCAGCCATGCCACCGCCTTCAGCCTCTAGCCAAGCAGTTCTGGAGCATGACTTCTAGAACTGTCTTGATATGGGAATCCCAATAGAGAACAGCTTTTTAAAATCACGAAAATCGGAGGAAGTAACCATTGTGAGGGTAGAAATTGGATTTATTTAGCTCAGCTCATCAGAAGGAACAATAGAAGTAAATCATTTGTAGCTAATCGGAATTTTTCCCTCAGAAGGGAATCGAAGGGATGTGTCTGATTTACAGACTGGTTTTTAGCAAGATATTGGGAAGAATTTAAGAATAAAAGTTGAGATCCTATAGTTTAGTTATCTTTTCTATATCTTTTTCTATAGCAGAAAAGATATAGATTACATAAAGAATCTATAACTGTCTTCCCGAAGAGAGGGAATATATGTGAAAATGTTCTTAGAATCAAAGGTATTCTAAATCCCTGTGAAATATATTTGTAGACGTACTAATTAACTCTTGATGACAGTGTGTGTCCTTAAAGTTTCCTGTAAGAGAAAATGATGCTAACAAACTTAACAGTACTATTTCTTAAATTTATATTTGATTTAAGGATGCTTGGATGACCTTAGGGTTCATGACCTTAGCTCCAAAATTCTGTGATGTGTTCATTGGCAGGGGAGAGAACCTGCTAGCATGGCTGTGGATGACTCATCACTACTCTATTGAAATGTGAATTATGATCTGTAGTCACCTCTTATAGTGGTTCTTAGCATTTCAAATAAGAATCTTTCTTAGGAGAAAAATATTTACATACCTTTCTTCTTCCTTCTTTTTCTCTCTTCCTCTAAGTATTTGATTATCTGATAGCAATTAAGTGGTGGGAAGCAATGGTGAACAAAGCAGATAAAATACTTGCTCTTACGGGGCTTGCACATCTGCCTAATTGCCCAGTCCCTACTTGGAACAGCTTTTTCCTCCTTACTTCTGGGAAAGCTAGTCTGTCCTTGCTCATAGTTTCACCCATCCTTTAAATGTTGGCTTTTCTTAGGGCTCCACTCTAGATGTTTTTTAAACCTATACTCTCTCCAATAACATTTCCAGTTCTCTGCTTGAAATCCTTTGCCCTCTTCTGTGCTGTCTCAAGTTTCACCACATTTAAAACTGAACTCATGGCCTAAAACTGAACTTATTGCCCCTTCTGCTCCCAGAACTGGTCCTTTTCTGTGTCCGTGAGTTGTCCAGTATTCTGTCTAGTTGTTTAATCCAGAAATTCCTCCCCTTCATTTCCTCCCATACTGTACCCATCTACTTCCTTCTTGAGTTTATGTCTTCTGTTCCTGTCAGATTTTCCTTTCGTGTTCTCACTGCTGTTTTTCAAGTTACCATCACTATCCTTCCTGTGTGCAGACTTTCAAAATAGCATCCTCATTGTTCTCTATCTTTTGGCTTCCTAACCCATCCTCCACATTTCAGATTGTGATATTTTTTAGATATGTAAATACATGCACAGGGTTCCAAAATTTTCAAAGTATGAAAAGATACTCAGCAAAGAGTCTCTTTCCCCTATGTAACTAGGTTACCTATTTTAAATATCCTTCCCAAGTATTTTATGCATATACAAGGAAAAACTAATATATAAGTTCTTTTATCAACATGAAAGCTAATATACTATGTATATATTTCTTCTTGATATTTTTCATTCAACAGTACATCTTAGACATCGTTCTATTATAGTACATAGAAGATCTTACCATTCATTTTTATGGTAGCATAATTAATATTTCACAGTAGGAATATTGAAATTGATACATACCAGGATGGAATATCTTTTATTATCTAGAGTTACTCCATTCTTCCATTTCAGATAACCTTGACATGAATTCCCATTCATTACTCTCAAGGAAAAAGAAACTAAACTCCTTAGCTGGGAAGGCCCTCAGAATCTGGCCCTGTTTTATTTCTCCAGGATTTTCTTGTACTCTTTTTCCCCTCATCTTCTTTTTCTTGGGTTTAGACTATCTTTTATTTCCCCTATGTACCATGTTCCTTCCTGCCTAAGGCCTCTTGCCCAAGTTCTTTTCTTAGTCTCAAGTGCATATCCGTCCCCTCATTTCTCTGCCTTTAGTTGACTTCTAATCAGCTTCTAATCTACTTAAGGCAGAGCTTAGCTCATTGCCATTTCTTTGTGGTGTCTTACCCTAGCAACCCAAGGCCAATTCAGAGTTCTCTGAGTCTCCCAGAACCCTTACTTCTTCCTTTAAGCAATTATTACCATTTGTCATTACACATGTACACATATGATTATTAGATTGCTATTTATCTCACACATTTAAACAGTTTTTTTCAAATAGAGAGTTACAACTCAAGTTATACATTTTGAAATCAGTTTAAAAGATTGTGACAGGTTCTTTTTATTTAATAGTTTTTTGAGACAAGGTCTCACTGTGTAACTCAGGCTGGCCTTGAATTCACAATCCTCATGCCTCAGCCTCCAAAGTGAGTGCGATTACAGTATGTGCCACCACAAATCCTTTTAAAAAATGAAATAAAATAGAAAATATTGGACTGCTTTATTTATAGTAAGGATATTTCTTTTCCCCCATTCCTTCCGATTAAGAGATAACTATAATCACATAAGCATATTAGGCATGATATAAAATGTATTTGTTATTGTGTGTGGGTCTTAGTCAAAAAAAGCTTGCCAGTCTCTAGACTATAAGTTTGGTAAGATCAAGAATTCGATCTATTTTGAGTGCTCTTCTATCCCCAAGTCTAGAGAGAGACAGGCTGGCACCAAGTGAGACACTTGGTGACTATGCTGACTGGCTGAATGAATGAACAGTATTTTTAGGAAAGTTCTTGCCCCATTGCTTTCCTCTACTAGGGTCTAATAGGTGTTAGTGATTGTTTCCTTGGCCAGTTGAGTTTGCATTAGATCATTAAAAGACTAGAAAAGTATTATAAACCCATATCTATAAAATGTAATATTAAAAGGTTGATAAGGAGATGAAACCCTAAGGGTGAAAGTTTTTAGATTTAGCATTTTTTCTCTTGTGGATCTTAGGCCTTAAAATATCATTTTATTTTTATTTTCCTAACAAATAATGAAACTTAATTTTGCCTGTATATCTGGGTAGTTTTTTTTTCTAATGTAGTCTGCATGCATTTACATAGCTTATTACAAAAGCTGTTATCTTTTGTGTGTACTTCAGCAATAAAATATTTATGCTGTTTGGCAAGGTGATACTGCAACCTGGTTTAATACAACAGCTGTACTGCCTGTTCCCATGTGGCTTGATTTCCCTTTTTAATCTTCAGTTTTTTGCAACTGAAGACTATGTCAGCATTTATACAGTAGCAAATAATGGTAAAGGCTTCTTGAATTAACATAGTAAAGAGCGAAATATTCTTCTGAGTTTACTTGTTTCATATTTTTCTAATGTCTTAGAAAACATTTTTCTAGCATGTCCTGCATAGGAAAGCTTTATAAGCATCATGTATTTACAACAACTTTTTTTTTATGTCTTTTTAATTCTTTAGAAAACCCATAAACTCCTCTCTTTAAAGACAAGAGTCTGATCTTCAAAAATGGAAATATTTCAGTTCTAAAATAATCTGCATTTGACTTAGCAAAAATCAGGAAACTCTTAGAAATAAAAGAATGATTTTTTTTTCTTTTCAGTCACAAGTTTGTATGTAAAATAACTGAAATTGAGATTGGCTTTAAAAATGTCTAGGTAAGATGTACACCAGTGGCTTTATGACTATAAATCCTGGCTACTTGGAGGCTGAGATCGGAAGGAGCATGGTGAAAGGCCAGCCAGGCAAAAATTTTGTGAGACCCTATCTCAATCAATATCTGAGCACAGTGGTGTGGTACCTCTCATCCCAAGCTACGCTGGAGGCTGAGGAGGGTTCCAGACCAGCCCAAGCAAAAGTTCGTGAGACCCAATCTCAAAGGGGAAAAAAAGCTAGGCATGATGGTACACAACTGTCATCTTACCTAGGTAGGAAGCCTAAAATAGTAGGATCATGATTCAGGCTGTACTGGACAAAAAAGCTAGACCCTCTCCCTAAAATAACCAGAACAAATAGGGGTGGAGACACGGCTCAAGTGTTAGAGCAAGTACAAAGCTCTGAGTTCAAATCCTAGTACCACCAAAAACAAAGAAAAAAAGAAAAGTATCTAAGGCAGAAACAGGGAATCTTAATTATTTCCAAGTTTGTTACCAGAATCTTTTGAGTATAGAGCTTTTAATCTAGCACTTGTGTTCTTTTTCTTCTAGGTGCTCCTGATCCAACAGCAGGTGCTAGTATAGACGATGAAAACTGCTGGCACTTAGATGAAGAGCAGGTTCAAGAACAGGTTAAATTGTTCCTTTCCCAGGGCGGGTACCATGGATCAGGGAAGCAGCTTAATTTGCTCTTTGCAAAGGTATGATTGACTGTTTTTAAAGAAATATTCTCAATATATACATATATAAAAACTACATAAGATATTTACAATAAGATAAATACTTTTTAAAAAAAGAACAAAGTCTTAAGTTAATGAACCAGTTAGAAACTTTTGTGCTGTAATGCAGGTTTTAATTTAACTGACCTTAGGCAAGATGTGGACATTTTTATCTCTTTCAGTTTGTAATTTATACAATTTTGAAAATTTCCTTTAGCAATGGAAACAAAATAATACAAAGTCATTTAACATGCTATCTTTCAAGTTTTTCTTTTTCTAGTTATTTTTCCTGGTGAAATATAACTTTAAGTTAATCCTTTAAAATGTGCCTTATATATTTAGTTTAATAATGTCAGCATCTTTATATTACTTTCAAAAGCATGGATTTTAGATGCAGATTTCATAGTTCTAGTCTTATTAAATGTATGAACCTTGGCAGATTATTTGTCAGTTTCTTCATCTGTAAAATTAACTAATCATAACATTATCTCCTAAAATTGTTATGATAGTGATGTCAAATGTTTGTGTCTAGCATTCATTTTACTACCAAGAATCACTGACCTAAGAAGTACAGTTATCTTGGTTACAAGTTCCTTGTAAGCAGGATCTGTGTCTGTTGCTATGCAGAACTTTTAGTACTATAAAAACATTTCTAAATACTAGATAAGTGCTTTTTAAAATAATACTAAATCAATGTATTTTCATTGAGGGTTTAGTCATTATTATGTATAATGTACTAAAATTGGTTTTAAAGGAACATAACTGTTTATTGATACACTGTTACATATCTTTAATATTGACGATAATTAAAAGTTTTTGTGGGTTTTTTTACTTTTAATTCAGAAGAATTAGGGTAAACTCTGCTTTTGGATAATAAAGATTTATCCTGTAGATAATATGTAGATTGCCAGTTTCCCTAAAATTTGTTCACAGTGAAATACATTTAACTCTACAACTGCTTCACACATGATTTAATCATTCTTTGGTAATGCACAGGCTCTCAAACTCATGTAATGCCTCAGAGTCAATAGTCTATTATATAGTTTATTACCTACAGGCTATAGATGTACTTGAGTTTAATTAATAAGAGTGTTCGGGTTTATATGCTTACCTAGTAAAGCATTTATTTCATTGTTGTTGGTAACTGGATAATAGGTTAGAATGTATCAGGAAAATTAACATTAAATCAAATCTGTTGATATACTGATGATATAAAATGTAAAGTATATTGAGACAGAGGAAATATTTTGTTTTCATGTCAGCAGAGCACACTACTCAACTGAAATCAATGTAAAATAGTGTATGGTTAGACATAGTTTGCTGTTGTTATTTTTGTCCCTGTGTATCATGTATACATTGTACATGCCATGTGAAGTAATACCAACACTTAATTTTGGAAATGGCATAACTTGGAGTTAAAAGAGTTAAAGGCAGATCTGGTTTCTGATTCTGGCTGTTACTCTTGCTCTTTCAGCAAGTTGTTGAACTTCTCTGAGGCTTGGTTTATAGTTCATGAAACGGGTTATAATCTGGACTACTTTACATGGCTGTTTGAAGATGAAATAGTAAGCATAAATGTAAATAAAACCCTTTAGTACAATATCTAGTAAATGCGACTCCCCTTCTTCCTCCTAAGCTTCACATTTGTGACTTTTTAGTCTTTCCTATTGGGAACAACTTTTTAGGATTACTGAAGTAACCCTCCTATATGCACAGCTTCTGTGATTCAGAGAAAAAGTGCTTGTGAGTTCTTTACAAGGCTCCAACTCTCAAGTAGCTGTGGGAGTTCCAGTGTGTGCTTGGGTCCAGGCTGAGGCAGGACCTATGATCTCCTAGATTCCATCTGCTTTTTTTTTTTCCAGATCAGCCCTCTTTCTCCTTTTCTTGCCTTTCACATAGAACTCTGAAAAAGCATCCCTGTCCTCCCTATTGCTTATGACCTTATCCTAGTAACTTTCCACAGACACAGCTGGTATTCAGTTGTGACTCTTTACTGTTGAGAACATAGCAGTACAAACTTTGGTAATGAATGGATCCATTAAAGTTTCCTACAGAGACTTAATTTTTGTATTTCTTTTCTCCTTTATATTTTATTTGGACAGTATAACACAAGAGAAATGCAGAGCTTGAAGTTCTAGCTTGAGAGGCCAAGATCATTTATTAAGTCAGTGGTTATAACTCTGCTCTCTGGATCTCTCACATAGAGTGAAAGAGTTCTTAAACCTACAACCCTGTTGGTTTCCTCTTTACCAGTGCCAAAGCATTACCATCTGAGTAAATGTACATGGCTCTTTGTATCTGAAGGTTCTGTGTTGACAGATTCAATCAACCATGGATTGAAAATGTAGCTAGGCCTGTGATGATGGTTGCATCTGTATTGAACATGTGGATTTTTTCCCCTTGTCATTACTCTCTAAGCAATATGTGCAACAACTAGAGGGAGTGAATATGATCAAAATACATGATATTCGTGTATAAAAAATCATATATGAGACCTCTTCATAAAATTAATATATGCCAATTTAAAATGCTAATACTAAAAAAGTCACATCAAAAAAATTTAAAAAATAAAATTTAGCATTTACATTAGGTATTATAACTATTCTATAGATGATTTAAAAAGTACGGGAAGATGTGCACAGATTATATGTAAATACTATATCATTTTATATAAGAAAATAGGGCATCTGCAGAATTTTGTATTTCATGGAAGTTCTGGAACCAGTTCCCCATGGATACTGAGAGATGACTGTATGCTGCTGCTCTTTACATAAAGAAAATTCAGTGAAGGAGGATTTATTGAGATTACTAATTTATCTCAAAGCTAAGAGACTTACAAAACTCCAAATATAATAAAAACCATTGAATTGTGCTGCCTAAATGATGATTTGTGAAGTATATGAATCTTGTCTCAATAAAGCCATGACATTATGAGGTCAATTAGGAAAATTCCTAAAGAGGTTTCAGTGTACTCTGGTTTAGGCTGTGCTAGTCTGGAGGTAAGTTACAATCATTTGGAGGGTCAGGAAGGTGGCAAGCTTTTTGTCATTTTTGTTTCGGTGTTGTTTTTCTATAGGCTAGCAAAGTAATGGCTTCACATTCCCATGAAGCAGTAGTACCTGGTTAAACCTGTTTTGGTAAATTAGTTAGGTTCAGATACATGTTTCCAGTGCCAGATTTCGTTTCTATGATTTGTACAAGTGTGAATTAGCCTGTTTTGTTGAAGTATAATCTTGACTACAAAGTATACTTGGTTTAGATAAGAGATAACTTTGATTGAGAACTCTAAAAATATGTTTTTGCCAGACATATGAAATACTGTTTAATCATTTACCTTAATAAAAGATGTTTAAAACCCAACTGAAAGTCTTTTGGAATTGGAAAGTTGAGGAAACTTCCTTTTTTCATATGACTTGTAAAGCATAATTTAAAATAATTAACAGTTATTTCTCTTACTAAATTGCAACTTAGGATAGAGAGTGGTTTTTAACTACTTTGTTTTTCTTAAGAGGGCTGGTACAAAGACTTCACACACATGGGCACATACACTCACGATATAGAGAGTCTTACATGTTTAGTTTGGGAGTTTTTAAACATTTTTGTCTGTTTTCCATACTAGGTGCGGGAGATGTTGAAGATGAGAGACTCCAATGGGGCCCGCATGTTGACCTTGATCACAGAGCAATTCATGGCTGACCCTCGCCTGTCACTTTGGAGGCAACAAGGCACTGCAATGACTGACAAATACAGGCAGCTCTGGGATGAACTGGGTAAATACATTTCCTGACAACTTACCATTGAGCTCTGTGTGGATAAAGACCACAGTTGAATGTGTTAAAGAACATGGTCATAGTATTGGTGGAGAAAGACTTGCTCATAGGTGAACTTGTTGCCAATATTCACTGGTTAGAAGAATAGAAAGAATAAGGACTTGGGGCTGGCAGAGCATCTGCCTAGCTAGCATGAGGCCCTTAGTTCAAACCTAAGTACCACCAAAAAAACCAAAAAGTATAAGGACTTGAGCTAGCATTTGCTGAAAATAGTCTTGGCAGAGTTTTGATGGAATTGCCAAATTTTGAGAAAAGTTAAGAGCAATAAACTACCTTTAAATATTTAGGGGGAAAGTCTATATTATTTTTACATAGCAGTTTTACATAACCTAGCTAGTTAGTTACTTGTTTTATGTAGAATTTGCAGTCTGTCTTTCCTTTCTTCCAATACTGGAATTACCAAAACTGGTTTGGATATTCTTTTTTTTTTTTTTTTTTTTGGATGTTACAAATTTTGGTGAACAAAAGGTATAGCAAACTCTAAAATTCATTGTTCCCCAAATCCCTGGTGGTTAATGATACAAATATAGCATGTGATTAAAAAAAAAAAAAAGACGAGAAATGTTCTAGTCTTATTCATTAAAAGGATACCAACAATCTTGTTGGTATGAGTCTTGTGACCCAGTGTTCATTGCTGAGGAAGTAACAAATGCTGCATTTGTTATCTTGGCCTCATAGTAAGAAATCTGTAAATGACAAGTGAAGTTTTTGACAAACATATCAATGTCTGAATTAATTTTATGAAAGCTAGCTGTATTTATAGTCTCATTGAAGTTCCTCTCAGCTAATGCTAGACTTACTGATCTAAGATCTAGACTACATCAAGAAGAGCTGTTGTCTGTGAAGTTTCTGCATGTTCATAACTAGAAGGGGCTTTTGATACAAACTATTTTATAGATGAGGAAACTGAAGTCCAGGGAGGTTAGAAGACTTCCAGAAGATGACGTAGTATGATATCGAATTATACAACAAGTTGGTAAAGAGTTTGACATTAGTGTTTCCTTTTTCCTATTAGTAGGATGTGTGTTCAGGAACTTGGCTACAGATAGAAACTCTTGGTCCTTTTTTTTAAGGAGGGGTGGGTACTGGGGGTTGAACTAAGGACCTGCTAGGCAGGTACTCTATCACTTGAGCCATTTCTTCAGCCCTTTTGGCATTGGCTATTTTTGAGATAGGGTCTTGTTTTATGCCCAGGCTGGCTTGGACCGTAAACCCTTTTTAACTTATATCTCTGTAGTGCATGTTGAATTGACTAGCTGGTTTATAAAGGTAAAAGGACTAGCATTAAAAAACTATAATGAGATCGGGTGCTGGTGGCTCATGCCTGGGAGTCTGAGATAGTAGAATCAAGATTCAAGGCCAGCCTGGGAAAAAAAGTTCATGAGACCCCCATCTCCAAAATAATCATAGCAAAATGGACTGGAGTGCCTGCTTTGCAAGGCAAAGCCCCATATACAAATCCCAGTACCACCGGAAAAAAAAAACAAAAAACTATAATGAAGGGGATCCATTAAGGAAATATCACTGGATTACTACCAAGAAAATAAAATTTAAAGAGTTTTGGTGCCTAGAAAACATAGAATTACAAATAATTGATAATTGATTTGGAAGAAAATGCCACCTGGGTATTTCAGTTAGCATAAAAAAGTACATGTCATATAGTCAAAATAAGATTTGCACTGTTCACATGCAAATAGGCAAATCTCACTTTTTTCTGAGTTGGTTTTGAAAATTGTGTATGTCACCCCTTCAGTCAAAAGTATAAATTCTCAAAAAAAAAAAAAAGTTTTTACCAGTGTATTATACTGGTAAAACCAGTGGACTACTTTCTAATTAAGAACCAAGTTTTTACACAAGTTCTTTGATTTCAGAGCAGAATGAAGAACATAACTTTTTGTACTGTGTTTCCTCTACCCCACCCTAAATCATTGGTAGACTGCTAGAAATGTTCCTGTGTACTCTGATGGTAAGCAGAGGTTGCTTGCTATTTTAATAGTATCTGAGTCCCAGGAAGAATCCCATATTAAAGTAACAATAGCTCTAACATCTTAATATTCATTCACCAAAAAGTTAACTAAAAGTTCCTTCTAGACTACAAAAGGAACTACAAAGGAAAGGCTTTTGCTTCTTAATAAAATAGGGGAATTTGACTTTGTGCCCCTACACAGGGCTCACATTGCTTCAAGGCTCTGCTTTGGAATTAAATGCTGAGCACTGCCAGATGCCAGACATTGAGAAGAGGCTGAGTTTTGTCAGCAAATGGGATCTGCAAGTTAATTGGTGTTTTCTGCAGGCTTCTGGCTGTGAAATGAAATTGGAAGCCCTTTAGCCACATGGATAATACAGGTCCTGAATACAAATGTCACATGTCACCATCAGGACCCACTGTGAGACAATAGTGTTCCCACTCCAACACTGCACCATTACAGATCATTTAAATATGGGGATTACATTTAAACTAAAAGCCCCATTTGCCTTTTACTGCAATTTAAATGTCCTCTTAGCAAAAGCTAAGTGACAAATTAAATGAAAAAAGTGCCCACATTTTTAAAGCTGTAATGCAAAACAACCTTTTATTGCTTCTCATGTGCCACGAATGAATCATTATACTTGTCAACCCTAAACCAAGCCATAATTGGAGCAGCTACTGTTATCAAAGTGGGGCTGCTCTGTGACAGCTTAATAAAGCTGAAACTGTTAAATTAAATCTCAGATGCTTAACTCTTTAGCACTGGTGGATTCAATGGGTCCATTTCTGGTACTGACCAGTACACCAGGAAAAAAAAAAAAAGATTCCTGGCATGAAAGCCATTATCTGATGAAAGTGTACGTAAGAGCATCTTAGCCAAGTCACGCTGCTACTTGGCAGTGATTTGGAGCCATCAGATTGTCAGCCAAAAGATTATAAAATCTTTTCCTAGGACCAGTAGCCCCTCCTCAAGATTTATAACTTTCTGATTATATTAACAGCATTATAAAAATATGCTGTTTCAAAATTAGTTTTAAAAATAACACATATTTTAAACCTTTTTCCTTTCAATAAACATGCAGACTTGTTTATGGTAGCCATAATGGTGGCCCATTTCTTCCCCCATCCTCCAACTAACAAAGGGACTGATTATTATCAGTTCTTCTTTTCTAATATAAGTGATACTCATTTGGTCTGAATTAATTTTTGTGATTTGCTTCCTGATTTTCGTAATGCAGTATGAAATAGATACAGATGTATACTATTAAGATTCTTATTTTTTGCATCTCATTTGTAGATACATTTATCTTGTATATAAATCAGCTTTTCAAATACTAATTTTGCTTTCTGTACATGATACTCATTTTCCCAAACATAAGGCAATGTTCTCAAGATGAGTAACGTTGTATCATAACCATAAGAAAAAGTGCGTATTATAATCTAAGACAGAAAGCCCCGTTGTAATGGTGCAGAGGCTGCACATTTGGTAGAAGCTGTAGAACACACACATCAGTGGTTGCAGTCTTTATTCTGTGACATACGTTTTTTTATGGAGAGCAGATCCCCAAAATAACTCATGGATTCAAAGAACAACCCAGTGCTGATTGGTGGCAAGCACACCCACTGTTAGTCCTAATGACTGTCTGTTCAGTACACTTAATTACTGTGGGAGTCTTCAGGGATGCAGGGATATATTGTGACCTCTCATCTGTGTTGATGGGTCTCTTTCCCCTTAAATGTCTTCCTAGACTGTAATTTCACTTTGCTTCATAAAACTATAGGTTGTGGCTGCCAGTCTATTAAAACCTAATTAAAATGAATGTCATTAGAGGAAACAGTTAAATAAAATTTAATTACAGTTTCATCACAGGGAAAAATTCTTAAATTTTGACTTTCAGGTATTACATAATATAGTTTTCCTCAAGTTTTAAGCACTTAGCTTTCCTCCCTAGCACGTGAATCCTGTATAATAGGGAGAGGATGTGCTACCACCCCAAGAGCCTAGCTGTGCTGAGCTTGCTCACTTACTTGATAAGAAAAAGATGGTGGCTCTTTCAGTTCTTTTCACATACTCTCTTGTGGGGATCTAACTCTGTGTGAGCAAAAAGAGCCACAGTTAGATGTTTCGTCTTAGTTTGAATTTCATTGTAAAAACTAGGAAGTAGATCTCATGTTCCAGGGGCAGATGCTAGACTGCATAAAGTATAGATTCAGGGCACTTGGAGTCTGGAAATCTAAAGTGGTAGAGAACTCAGCCCATCTATTGGGACCACATTTATTGCAAAATACTAAAATTTACCTGCTTCAGTGACCCAGAATGCTATCTACCTCCCATCCCCTACATAAGTAATGATTCTTCTGCACCTACCCACATTATTCATGAGTAAGGTGGAAAATACATGCTTAAGTCACACATTTAAAATGAATACTTTAAGTAATTTAGGAGGGTCTTTGTGTACAGCTACAAATAAGATTTTAAATATGCTGCTGTGGAGGTAATTTTGGAGAAATTTCAGGGGAATGCCATTCAATCTCTGAAAATGGTAGGCTTAGTAATGGTCCCCATTGTGCCTTTAGTTTCTGTGGTAAATTCAAACAAACTTAGGCTTGCCACATTTTAAAGTTGTTGGTGGTTAGTAAATGGTTCAGGAGTCATTGCTTCTCCTGAAGAACTAGAAAGCATTCCCAAGTGGTTTGCCACATAAGGAGTTACCTCTTATTAGTGCCTTAGAGAAACGAACATTTCCTAGAACTCTCTTGCAGCAAAAAGATGACACAGACTTGGAAACTTCCAAATAGCTGTCAATATAGAATGCAGTCCTTCTGAACTACGTATCAGGGATTGCTTGTCATCTACCAGTTTGTCTTCCCCAGGCACAAGGTGAATACCATAATAAACCACTATTGATGCCTTCTTACCCTTCTTTTTAGAAGTCTTACTATTTTTCAGTAGTCTTTCTACTAGTAGGTA